TGGCTGTAATATGTTGGCTGTAATGCTGTACTTCACATAGGAGACTCACTGCTCACAACAGTCATCGTATTTTAATGTCTCAAATATTTAAGTTATGTTACAGTCAAATGTGGAAATGTGGTTTGTTTGGTTTTTTTCCTGTTCAAGCCAAAGATTGCAGATTTTTTTCATATGATCTCTTCATCGAAAAGAAAATCCACTTTCCTCAAAATGCATTTTCCTGGAAAGGTGGACTGCTACATGGAAAAGAAAGAAAAGCTGAAAAATACAGGCTGGTTTTGGTGATTATTTTTTTCTTTCCTTCCCCCCAAATCCTAAATTTTGAGGGAAGTTTTCAGTAGGAAGGGAGAGAAGTTTTTGCCTTTGATTTTTACCTTCTGTTTCTGCCCAGCTCAGGTGCCTAATCCCCCATTCCACACATGTGCCTCAGCCACCACAGTCCCAGTGGGGGAAGGCTCAAGGATGGCCTCAGCCCCAGTGCTGGAGGAGACTTCTTTATTTAGAGACCGGTGCTAAACCATCAGCTGAAAACTGCTAGACAATATAGCCACCTTCCCTCATCACTAAAAAACCAGCAAGTATACATTTTTAATTCACCGCTTTTGGTAGTATTGATCTCTAATCTGTTTTAGTACTACACTGGAACATAAAAGACTGCTAGCTTTAAACAGGACATGAGCTACCTGCAGAAACACTTGTCCTTCAACAAAAGAATAGCAACTTAAAAGCATTTTATATGTTGGTGGAAAAGAGATAATTAAAAAGTAATTTGGTAGCACGTCACAGACATTTGTTTATGTGTATAATACATAAATGAAAAAATAAGTAGTTGTTCAGATATACTAGGATCATTGATTACTCAAATTCATTGTTACAACAAATGAACTGACAGTATCATTTAAGGATAAAAATATGAATTTGCTGAAATTAATTAACACTTTTCAAGGTTTTTTATATAAATTGGGTTTTAAGACAGTGCTCCGTGTTACTTGTTGCATAAGGAATTTACTGATTTATAGCAGACAATTATATCTGAATTATAGAAAGTCTAACTTTTCAAATGGGATTAATCATTACCCCACTAAAACCCTATAATCTTTCATTTTTCTACTAAGAGCATTAACTAAAAATATTATTTAATCTATTACAGATAAGAAAAAGTGTTACTTTTTGCATCAAATTATTTCCATAAGCCACATATCTGCAATTACTATGCATTGTCATAAATTACATCACACTGGCAGCCTGAAATTGGTGAAATATTTGTGTAACAAGGGGCAAGATATCTGAAACTTCAGAGTAGCCCACCCTTTTAAAGGGTTCAAAATTAATGTTTTTTTCCTGAGCCATCTTGTCAGAAAAAGCTGCCAACAATGGTCTCTAGGATAACAAATTGTTTCATCTGTTTTAACACCTATAGGCCTTGTGCAACTGAGTTTATTACCCATTCAAACTCCATACAAATCTTACATTTGAATTGTCTCTGCATACTGAATTCAAGAGGTTTGATGGGCTTATATTTGCTTCACGCTGTTCACACCATCGCGCTATAGCAAAATAAAAAATATCAACTAAAAATTTATATTAACATGCTCCAGAAACTTTCAAATTGCCACCTGTTCTCCTTACAAAATCTTGTCTGTTATTAATGAAAGTGAATATCCAATTTTCTTCACCTCCTGGTTACGATACTTGCTGTGAAAAAAAGGGCAACTGGAACATAGAGGGTAGGCAACTGCACAGACTCCAACAAAGGTAAAGAAAACTTAAAACTTGAACCATCCTCTGATTTTAGCTTCACATACGCAAAGAACTTTCCTAAAACAGGCAGGGACAAAACCAGAATACACAGAACACGCACAAAAAGTAGGTGACATTGACTCACCTTAGAGTAACTGATAAAAATATATCTTCAATACATCCAAGGGTATTCTGGATTTTGAATGTGTATTCCACATGCGACTGGATTATTTTGGCCAATAGCACGTAACAGCTCAAGTCTGTGGCCCTGTTGTTCTTCTGCCTTTCCTTCTGACTAGACATTAGTAATACCAGTATGCCAACTAAAATTCACTGTAATCCAACATAGTAGCAAAAGGCAGCATTTTGCTGAACACATAAATGTAACTGAGACACAAGAATGGGTCTTTTTCAAATCATTGTCTATGGGTATTCACAATTCATGACATTACAGGTTTCATGACTTACAGTTTTAGAGTCTTATGTCAGGTCAAAAAGTAGGACAGGTTTTTGAAGTCTTTATTTTCTGGAGCAGAACCAGCTAGAGAGTCAAATGTTTATGAGTCAAAAACCACTTAAGAAGCTAGGAAAAGACGTAATATACAAAGAGGCAAATGGTGGGGATACCAGTAAGGCACCTGAACAGCCTGCACCTTATATTTAGCCAGTCAGAAAATTCTTGATACCCCAAGAACAAAACTTATTTGCATAAGGTGCACAGCAAGTGACTTCCCTCTCTCTTTTTGAAGGGAAAGACACTGCATTTCTTGGTTGCTGATAAAGTAACCACAGCTGGAGAAATTATGCTTTCTTTATGGACCATTTGTTATTATAAATAAACAAGGACAAACAGCAGGGCTGGACAATGGGTAACATTGCAAGGATATGGGGAATGTAAGGCTATCAGGTTTGTGATGGTATTTGGTTAACAACCATTCAGCATAAGAGACTAGGACAGGAAAACCAACCAACACCCAGACACACAAACCCTAATGAACAGGAGACAAGAGTTCTCGTCTTTGTCATTATCTGTTAGGTCACTGACTGACCGGCCAGGGAAGAAGCCACTCAGGCATGACCTTCAAGAGGTTCAGCCAGAACTTTAGAACAGATAAGAAGTGGTAAACAATGTCATCATGGGTCTTATGAGAAAGAACAGGATTATTACAGGATGTCTGCAGGGGCTTGTGGAAATGTGCAAACATTTATATGGGATGTTCAGGGGAAGCGCCAAAGGTAGGGAAGGTGAATCAGAAAAGAACAAGTGGGGGAAAATGAAGAGGAAGTGGCATAAAAAGGAGTCATTAGTGTAAGCTGCAAGTCAGTAGGTTTGTTTGGCCCAGCCCACACCTGATCACTGCAGTTTGTCCTATGTTTTTATTGAGTGTTATTTGTAATATTTTCTATGTGACTTTGCTCTCTATTCTGCATAGGTGTGATGTGCAAGCAAACTTCAGAGTCAGTCAACAACTATGAGGAAATCTGTATCTGGGAAGACCTAAGGTCTACACCAAGTAAGAGATTTCAGGCATAGACATGAATGTTTGATGAACTTAAAGCCTGTGTTAAAATTTGAGTCTGAGAATGCAGGCATGCTTGTGAATCAGGAGAGGGCTGGTGCATGTGTTTCACTAGCAAACTTCCAGTTCCCATCAGCTGGAGAAGAACTTTATCAGGCTGTTTGTATTCTTGTTTACCCGAGTGCTGTTTGCATTTATATGTGGTGCCAGTAAAGGCAATGTTTTTTCTCTGTAATGGTCTGTGTGACCAGCCATATGCTATGTATAGTGCCATCTTGGGAACGTATGCTCAGTCTTACTACTGGCTGGATGTGCAAACAGGAACAGTGGCAAGCAGACCAAGACGAGAAATTCTCTGTACCTTTGAGGCCACTATAGGTTCCCTTCACAAATGTGTCATCATTATCCCACTGGAATTACTCTGTGTGGGTCCAACTGACTCTCATGAAACACCACAGTCTTGCACTACAGTATAGTTCTTCCAGAGACTAGAGAACACCCAGTTATCTTCAAGCCTTCTTTCTCCTTCCATTCTGTGTGCTATTCCCTGCCTTCATACATCTTTTGCCAGCTACTCCAGACTTTGTGTCACGTTTTAAAAGATGGAACCGCAAGAGCAACCAAACTTCAAAATCATGCATGCACAAAGGAAGATGTTTCCAGTTTATCTTTACAGGAAGAGATCTGATAACTAGTAGCCAAGCAGCAAAACATGAAAATAGAAGTTTAGCAAATTTTATAAACTCATAGCTTGCTGCTTTGAAAAGCTATTAGATTTAATAAGTTTGTATTTGTCTCCCTAACAAAACTTTCATTACATGACAATTAAAACCAAAATAAGACCTCACACAGACCTCAAGACCGGAGGAACTTGTTGTTGTTTGGTTGTTTGTTTTTGTGTTATTTTCTTTTTTTTAAACAGTATGCAGTTGTTTCTGTAAATTTGTTTCTACTTTAAGTGTGCTGAAAGGCTCAAAAGTAGCAGAAGGGGCAAATGCACTTTTAAGCAATAACGTAGATAGTTTTACCTGTCCAGTATTTAGTACTGATTTTACACTTCTACCTTATTCTTAAACCTTCTCAGTGTAAACTTTCAATGGCAAAGAAAAACTTCATTACAATTTTTAGAAAAACAGAGTTCCATACCATCAGCTGGAGTTATAAATAGATGGAATACAAACAACTAAACCACCACTGAACTGCATTACAAGCCAGATCTTCTAGAACTGACAGTTATGTAAAATTGTCTGACTTACTGGTAAACAGACTTCAGTTGCACCTTTCAGTACAGCCAAACCATTAGGATTCCCACCTCATTAGGAACTTCATGATTATAGTGACAAGAGCATGTTTTCCAGATCATTAGAGATGAGCCATTCATGCAAGTACTTACAATATTCCTACACACCCACCTGAGCAACTAAAATAACACCTGCATGACAGTTCATCAATAAGTAAAAAAATGCACAGGAAAATACACATCTTTCAAGCACTACTGGTACTGGAATCTCTCTATCATCATTTATCATGAATGATAGATTTTAACAGTATGTATGTTATTGGCATGAGCAAGGGTAACAGTTACCTCACTCAAAAAAGGCTAAACGTTATTTTACATTAATAAGCTTGGATAACAGCATATTGTTCTGTAGATCTTGGGATTTAATGTGTTCTGACCTTGTACCGTAAGTTAAAGACAATAAGAGCAGGAAAGAAAGAAACCTCAAATTGTGCACTTACTTATTCAATGTGAGGTCAAGGATGAATTTGGAACCAAAGGCCTCAATCTGGAAACTTGCCTGGGCCAGATGTACAGCCTGTAAACATGAACACACAAGAGTACTATGCAGTTTTGCAGAACATTTAAAGTTGTCAAAAGAATCGCACAGCTTCATATAGAACAAATATGTGACAAACACCTGTGAAAAACAAAGTTACGGAAAACATGCTTATTTTCATGAATCTCACAAGCATATGAAAAGCTTTGCCCTTGTACCAACTTCTGATTCAAAAAGATTTGCCTTTTTAGAGGGTAAAGGAAGAAAGAGAAGCAAATGGTACCCGAAAAGCATGGTTTCAAATACACACTCATTCCTAACAAAAACAAGAAAAAAAAATTCACATAAATGTCTATATTCTGCCATAACCAGATGGCTGTGTAACAAAAGTGTAAGTAATGTAGTATACTGTTCTTTTAATTATGTTACTACATTCACTTTAGAAGGTCTGAAATAATTAAACTATTTGTAATATATGCCTTCAAATAAGAAAATCATGGCAAGGCTTGTATTACATGTTATGAAAGACTCCTTCAAAGTAATCTCTTCACAATTAAAGGCTTTGTACTTGGCATTGTAGCCAAACCAGTACAGAAGACTGATGCTGCTCAACATACAACAAAACATTAGCTTGTCTCACCTAGAGAGTTAACTTTAATTTTCAGGATATTCAATTTTTGTCAGATATATAAATTGTATTCTTTTCTGTACTGTTGCAACTGAAGCCAAAAGACACTTAAAACACGCTCATGCTTAAGCAGAAGATAAAAGATGATCCAAGAATTTCTTTTTATGAAGACACGGTTCTAGCATGGTGGAAAAGATTAGATCTGAATTTCATAGAACCTCTTCCCTGATAATGTTCTAATTAAATCATGCTTACTTATACACTAATTTGATACAGTATTAATAATTACATAAAGTTGGAATATTATGAATAAGCCATTTAATCAAAGGACAAAAAACATTTGTTTTTTATTAAACACCACAATGAATCTTCAGGTATGTCACAAAAACTATATAAAGTTCAGCTAGTTTATGGCATTACTTAAATAATATGAAGGTTAGATTTTACAGTCTACAAGGCCTACAATTTTGTTATCTTTTGGAAATTTTTCCACAAAGGATAAATTCTTTATGTTGTTCTTCTATTCCTGCACTCCACAGAGCAGCACTGATTTTCATCTTATTTCTCAGCAAAGGTATCCATCATCTTTCATAAAACCCTTCAATACAATTTTTAAAAACTATTTCTAAAAGTTGCTATAGTGACTAAAATCAGCTGTGATGTTTCCTGTGTTAGTTTATCATTCTTTGCTCCCAGAATTATCATTTCCCTTTCAAAAGAGTCACAGAGCTTTGTTGTCAAAATTCTTTTTAAAAAGCATGTAGTTACACAATATTTTAAAGATCTTTAATATCATTAAACAGTCTCTTACCTAAAGGCTGTTTTTTAAACTTTAAACAAGAATTTTAAAAATAATATTCCTAGGTGCTATCTAAAATAATATGGAAGCAAGCTACTATCAAGCTTCCTCTCTGACACATTTTTGTAAAGGAATATTCACTGAGATAACACTGGCCTGGCAAACTGAGTTTACAGCTGCCCTGAATCACCACAGTAAAACAGTTGAAGTATAAAGACAAACAGGTGACTTGATGGAGAGAGTTTGCATCAAGAGAAAATCTGAGAGAAGCTGCAAGGATGAAAGCTAGCACACGTATTTTAAAAAAAAGTATAGAATCTCAGTTTGAACGCATGCCTAGTAGGAGAGGCTTTTCAGCCCCTGCTCCACTTTTTTTGCACAGGGAAACCGAGGAACAAGTGTCACAAGGAGCTTTTCAAGCACCTGTTTGTGACAAAAAATGTTTTCATTTGTTTTCAATATGAATGCATATTAATTTAATTAACAAAAATACATGAAAATTTGTTGCAGGAAAAGGGTTGTAATTAGTTTTATCCCTTAAAGATTTCACTTAGAGTTACAAGAGCTACTGCTTTGAGTCTCCATCATATGTAACATTTACCTAAAATTATGTCTCTTCATATATATGCCACAAACAGGACTTCAATATTAACCATCTGGAAGTTTAAAAGAGCACGTACTATTCTATTAAGATCATTCTGAAACATGAGAAATGAGAACTACAGAATTTCTTGGAGTACTTACTTTTATTATGGGGTTTTTTATATATATATATCAGTTTGGAAGTACCTCCTGCTTGAAGACAAACATGGTAATTTTGAGTATATTGCATTTTTATATACAAATGATGAAGACCGAGTCTTTCCTTTAAGATAACATTACCATTTACAGGTCTATGACATAACATTCCTGACACATGTAACATGGCAAAAAGTGACTGCCCAATCAGAATTTACTCAATGTAACATATCATTAGTGATGTTTACAAGTCGTTTAAGAAAAAATACTAACTACCACTGATCCCAAACACTATACTTCGCCAAGCTGAGCAAAAAAGTAACATCAAAAGTGACTTTTCCAGGGTTAGTTTAGAAATAAAAATACACTTTTTCTTTTCAGTTTGGTAAGTGCAACATTTCTTTCACTTCTCCTAATAGACTACACATTATTTAAAATGTGTATTCTTTGAAACACCTTTTAGAACAAGAGCAGCATCAAATCTAAATAATCACCTGCACGAGAGAGATACCCAAGTATTTTGTTTTCCACTTTCAATTTTTTTTGTTTCTGTCAGTACTGTTGTTATGACCGCCAATTCCAAACCAACTAAATAAGCCAAAGTCTTGAATATCTTTCCTTTCAAGAAGAGTTAAGCTAATTAACTGATTAAGAAAATGCTTAAGTGTGGAGGATGACATAACACCTTAAATAATAAAATACACTTCAAAAGCAATGATGGTGCACTGAAACATGCCAAAATCCTGAAACTTCAGCACAAAACATCACAGATACTAAAAATGAAAGTGTATAAAAACCCCTGGATAACATCAAGATCAGAAACTCCCATCAAGGACTACTAAATTCAAAAGACAAGTTCTAGTTCCCAGAAGATCCTGAGCCACAAATTGCTGGAATCTGGGAGACCAGTCTGGGAGGTAGCACCCCCTGACTGTTGTGCTCCTGTATCCATCCCTAGGCATCCGCTACTGATTGTTCTCAGGGACAGCTAGATGGTTGTCTAGTCTGATCTGATATGGCTCTTCTTTTGTCCAATCAAGCCCATTCAATTATACATATAAATCATCCTTTAAGTTTCTAATCCATCAGCCATGTATTCTTTATCTTTCTGCAATTTAAAATTATTTAAATTAACTTGTATTCTCGGTCTACGATATAATAGAAAAAGTTCATCTTGTAGGTTTAGATATAATAGCATTGCTATTTCTGAAAACAATTACTTCTGCATATAAAAACACCACTTGCTATCTATTACTGTGCCTCACTTAACAGATGTAGTTTATACACATAAGCAAGTGCTGCAAAGCAGCCGACACTAGCTTGCTACCCTGCAGTACGTCATATTCTCCACCAGACAGCTCAAACCATTGGTTACAAAAAGAACACTGGATTTTGAATCCCTGCAGTTTAGCAAAAACACGGTTTTGAATTCAGGTGAATATGATACACCACTGCTGCAGCAAAATACAGATTTTGTTAAGCCAGTTTAATAATAGATGACCACCTGTGAAAGCCCTAAACCAGAAATCAAGTGAAGGTAATGAGACTAAAGTATTTAATCCTGAAACTGACATTTTTCCTGTAACAAGTTAGCACAGAAAGCTATCAGTAAGTTGTCACCAGATGTTTTAGCTGTTACAACCATCAGGTACCACCATGATAGGAGGAAGTATTTCAGGAAAGTATCTGTGGAATTCTGTTATACAGCTTACTATTTCACAGTATTCTCTTATCAGCTACTATGTAATACAATTCCTGCAGAGTAATATGAAATACAGTGTTCTTCTGATTGGCATAGAAATACAAATTCAAACAAAATATAATGTAGATTAGCATGTATTTTGAAGAATATATATGGGCTAGATATCTTACCGTGTCTTTTCACAGGAAAAATATTAAACATCGCCTTTCTGTAGCACTTGCATACACGCATATGTTCACATTTGTACAAGTATTCTTTACTTAGATGAACAGGAGACCAAGTTTCTTTGTACATACTTGTTTATCATTTAAAAACCTCTGCAGAAGTTCCCACTTTGACAGCTATAAGCTACTCCAATGGCAAAGTTGCAAAATTACATAAAGTTTTTCTGCAGCAAAGAGTTACTGATGACATACAGAGGAGCAGGTTGAAGGGAAGGTCTGAGCCTTTAAAATTCTTCCTGCTCCTAAACCCAAATTTTAGAGAGAAAAAAAGAAAGGAAGGTCTTTTTTCACTGTTCTGGAAGCTCAGATTAGTAGTGTAGTCACTGCAATAAGAGATTCTTCATACTTGGGGAAATTGCTGTAGCTGCTTGTGCAAAGTAGCTCTCAGGGTTTTTTTCCAAGCCAAAAATCCATACACATAAAGAATTACAGTTTCTTTCAAAATAGTCATTAGGTTATTGTAAATTTGAAAACAAAAATGGACTAGAAGGGTGTAACTGGAATCTCAGTTATACTGATCCATATCACAACTAGAACACTTTCATTGTTTTTATTATTGTGCTTAGGCATCATTTGACCATAATTAATTTTCCAGACTTTCAAGAATTTTACAAGCATCATCAACAAATGTGAAGTATTATATTAGATTTATTTTCTTCACAATAAAACTATGCCAAATGCAATAATACGTTACCCCTTCAAAAATACTAAGTTCTGTCACAAGTCTTTAAACAAAAGTAAAAGCGTTATTTAACTGACTGATGGTACCTATGGGTCTTTTGCTATATTCATACAGATATGATCTCCAAGTGACAAGCTCATTGCTTTTAGAAATCTATTTTTGCATACAGTTCTGCTGACTAAAACAATGGCCAAAAGCTACATCTCTCGTTTCAGTAGCTGAGCAAGGGGTTTCGTCACTCCCATTTTGGAATTAGAAACCTAAGT